TACCAAACCCCCAATTCACCCCTGCTCCAATTCACCCAATATCCTGCTCTCACCCTGCCTCGAAACGGACACGGACGGCAAGCCGTTGCCTATATATATGACGCTGTGAAATTCCTGCCAATATGCGGCTGCTCCCTGTCTCGATTTTTAACAAGGGACAGTTCACTGTGATTCCTGCTGCAATGCTGCTGCTAAACTGTTCTTCTGCCGTGAACGGCGTAGAATTCGTCTCCGAAAATTAACTGGGCCCCTGAATTCGGCGAAGTAAAAAGGCGCGATCTTCACAGGGTGCGAGACGTAAGGACCTACGCTGCAAAAACCGAACCTGTACCCTAAACATTAGTTCACGGTGGAAGAGACGTATGTGTGCTTCTCCCTTTTGCAACGCATCTCCTGAAAGACTGCAAGATTTTTTGCGAATAAACTGTTTGAAGATCGACGAAAGATACTTCTTTTGAATGGTCTTTGTTTCCGATGCCTCGGAAAACACAGACAATCTGACTGCAATGAAAAGCCCAAGTGCGACAAATGCAAGCTCCCTCATGCAACCGCAATGCATAATTCTCCGGCAGTGAGGCAAACACCGATTGCCATTGCTAATCCAAAGGAACAGCCACAATCCGCGTTGGCACCCCAGGAAACTTTCGGCGAATGATCCTCCTGCATTCCCCCTTCACCGTACTGGATTTTCGGGCGGGGAGTGTGCTGGGATGAATCCCAGCATTAGTATTATTATTAGTTTTAGTTTTAATATATTTTAGTATCCGCGTACACGGACATGCGCGTTCCGGATTATTCGAAACTTTGGCGGTTGGAGAAGCGTCAATGTTTGTAATGACTGCCCCCTGTAAGGAGTACCTTTGTTTGCCTTCTATTTGACTGATGCTGCTCTCTTTCTCCATCAGTCTTGCCCATTCGGGACTCTTTTCTACGAAACTAACCTTGCTTGGAACCATTCCAGCAATAACCGTGCTCTGCCGTGTTCAGGGCTCTGCTGTGCTTTGCGGCTCTGCTGTGCTTTGCGGCTCTGCTGTGTTCTGTGGCTCTGCCGCACCCTGTTCTTGAAAGGTGTGCTGTGCATGTTGGAGCTTTCTGTCTTGGGGCTACATGGACGTGTCTTCGAAGCCCCCATTAAAACAGAACTAGAAGAAGAAGAAGAAGCGTCAATGGGTCCCCTGTTACCGGGATAGACAACGATGTGACACGTAGAGATAGTAAAATAGTAAGTAATTTTATCGTGACTTATCCTTTTCACGTTTTAAAGTGCCTTCGTAGCAAATTGTCTGTAATGTGACTCAGCAAACTCGTTTCTACCAAACATTAATTTGATAGAATCCTCCTGGCCAGTAGCTTAACTTGTCCTATGCAGTATTTGACACAGTTGTGTGGCTCAACGAGAGTAAATGAACAGTCCGGTAGATTTTTTCCGCTTTATTTCATAGGGGTGACGTGAAATACTGCACAAAAGGGTTAGGATTAGGTACTGGCCTGGGAACAGGTCTTTAGACCATGATAATAAGAAACTACACAAAAGGGTTAAGATTAGGTACTGGCCTGGGAACGGGTCTATTTGTGAAGCATCATCGACATCGGTAGGGTTATTCGAATACACGAGCGGTGGCTGTTAAACGTCGACATTTTGAAATGTGCAAGAAGATCCTTTCTAATTTTTCGTGGTCTGAGCACTAAGAGTTACAAGGTACTAGCTACGTTGCTATATACTAGCTTACGTTAGAATAATGATGGAAGCGTGCTGTGTTGCAGCACTTGAGTATTAAGCACAACATGGAGATGTCACAATAATCTCAGATGTCGGCTGGACCTGTGAATAAGGAGAATACATTTAAGATCAGCAATACTGTTTGGTCCGCTTACTACTAATTTTAGGCAGGGGGAGGCGAAGTGACACGTATTCGGACGATCTTGTCAGACGATCTTTACCACGTACCCTGTCTCGCCTAGGTTCCTGCAAGGTATCGGTTAAGGTAAGCGCATAGAACTAGGCAGCCAAATAATGCTAGATATGTAGCCAAATAATGCTAGTTATGTCTATACTAGGTACTTAGAGTAGGTTCACGATACATGAGGGGAACATGAGGGGAGTCCGTCATGTTCAGCGACGCCATGGTCGCCATCTTGGCTTGTGGCGAGACGCGCCTCAGATGTTTCCTAGGTTTTTTACGTTAGATAGGGACGTCACAAATGGTTACAACAGTTGTTAAGGTAAGCGCATAGATCTAGGTAGCCAAATAATGCTAGTTGTGTAGCCAAATAATGCTAGTTATGTCTATACTAGATAGTCAGAGTAGGTTCACGATACATGAGGGTAACATGAGGCGAGTCCGCCATGTTCAGCGACGCCATCTCAGCGACGCCATTATACGCCATCTTGGCTTGTGGCGAGACGTGCCTCAGAAATTTCCTAGGTTTTTTACGTTAGATAGGAACGTCACAAATGGTTACAATGTAACCGGGTTACTTATTGAGTTTTATCGCAAAATAAATCCGCTCATTCATAATTTATTCATAATTACTTTGTATCCATATTTTTGTTATCTTAGGGTAATAGTTATCTTGTACCATTTTTTAGGGTAAAGGAAAGTGACTTCTAGGATCCGTAGTAAGCATTCCGGTCTTGTCATGTTCGGCGTCACTAAAAATAAAATTAAATTGGCAGAAAAAAGAATGGGAAAAGGAAAAAAAAGGGGGAAAAAACACAATGCGGACTGGCAAACCTCTGAGGGAGAAAGCCAGTCGGGTTAATGACTTAATGAGGAAACAAATATGATGGTAATTACTTTTAGAAACTAAGAAACTTCAAATCACAAATTTACCGGTTACTTTAGAGATCGCAATCCACACACGTGCTTTCGCCGTGAACGCAACTGACTTTCTCCTGCTGAAGCGATAGGAAACTATTGATTTACTAGCAAGTAGCAACACCTTAACTTGTGATAGAATTTTGTCAATAATCCGACAGCGCGGATCATACACGCATAGAATGATGGCTCTACTTGTGATGGCTCCACTACTTGATCGTGCAACATTTGCACGATCAAAATATGTGATCGTGCTAAACAGTGCTATTGGAAAAAAATTCCATTCATTTTTTCAAAAAATTTTCATTCATTTTTAAAAATTTAATTCATTCAATAGTCGGTACTTTATATCTCTGCCAACCATAATTTTTAGCTCCGTACACAGATTTCTTCTTCAACTCACGCTGTTTAGTTCACAACTATTTTAGAACGGCTTTTTCTGGGCCAACAAGGTGCAATACCGACTCAATACCGACAGACAACATTCGATAGTCGATACCATCAAAGGCATCGATTCCCGCCATCGAAGTTCACAGAATGGAAACAAATCCAAAGCCTCTGATTGGTCAGTTGGCCAGATGGTTTTGATAATACGCTTATAGCTAAGTCTTACGTACGAATGTTTTGATAATGTAAAAATTAGGGTGTCCCTACGTAACACGTAACTTTTTTGACGGAAGTACAAAAAGATACGAAGTTTTGATAATACGGCCCCAGGGGCCGTATTATCAAAACTTCGTAACTCTTTCTACTTCCGACAAAAAACTTACGTGTCTATCGAATCGAATCGACTATCGAATGCTGTATGTCAGTATTGCTCCTTGTTGGCCCAGAAAAAGCCGTTCTAAAATAGTTGTGAACTCTTTTTAATAAACAGCGTGAGTTGAAGAAGAAATCTGTGTACGGAGCTAAAAATTATGGTTGGCAAAGATATAAAGTACCGACTGGAAGGAATGAATGATGAGCGTTGAAATATAACGATAATGCATTTACTTGTAAAATATAACGTAAAAGGAAACAAAATCAGTTTCTGGCATTAACTCAGTTGAATTTTTTTCCAATAGCACTGTTTAGCACGATCACATATTTTGATCGTGCAAATGTTGCACGATCAAGTAGTGGAACCATCACAAGTAGAGCCATCATTCTATGCGTGCATAATCCGTGCTGTCGGATTATTGACAAAATTCTATCACTAGTCAAGGTGTTGCTATTTGCTAGATAATCGATAGTTTCCTATCGCTTCAGCTGACACTCTAAACTTGTGCGGAACTCCACTTACGACATCTCCGAGCAGACGTACAGTTACGTTACGTATCTTCCTGCGCAAATGTTTTGATAATACCACCTCTAGAGTTATGTCACCAAGTCAGCACTTACGCCGCTCGTAAGTCGATTTTGCGTACTTAGGAAGTTTTGATAATACGGCCCCAGGGCAGAGATTAACGAAACTTTGCTAAGTATACGTAACTTTTCGTACTTACGTTCAAAAAGTTACGTATTGCCTAAGTCAGTCAAAATTTGGCATTAACAAAACTGTCCTACGCAAGACTCATCTGAAAAGGTATTATCGAAACCATCCAACTAACTGACCAATCAGAGGCTTCGAATTTGCCATTCCTAGCTCCTGTCGACTCAGTACGCTGTGAACGTGGATGAAAGGAGGTTGTTTGTGTCAGCGTCATCTGCGTTGACTGACTAGGGAGCATATGGAGAAATGAGTGAGACGTTTTCTGAATAGCAATGACAACGCCTTGATTGTAATTTTTTGCAATCAAGGCAAAAAATTACATTTTTCCCATTCAAAATTTGAGGACTTTTTAGAGAGCTACCTAGAATTTAGAACATTTAGTGAGTTGGAGTTCTTGAGAGTTGGAGTTCAACTATCAGCGGAGAAAGAAAGGAATTTGTGTACGTAGCTAGAAAAAATGATTGGCTTGTCAAACTCCACTTAGTTTTGAATCAAAAAGTCATGAAGATATTATTTTAGAGAATGATCATAAAACTCTTAGCTACGAATATCAAGATTTGCTTGCAAATTATAGCACAAAAGGAAAAGAAATTAGCTGGCATTGTAACTGCGCTATACGTCTGTCTTTTGTTTGTCCAGGTTCACGCTGGCGACGAGTAGGATGCGTTGCATTCGACCTGTCTCTTTTTAATGATCAGCGTTATTTTGGAACATTATTTAGTAATTTTATCGATCCTATGGTTGTTAGATTACCGTAGCAGTGACCTTCCTTTTCTCTTTGAGTGGCGGGTAAGCCTTGAGAGCAAATGATGTTTGTACGAAATGTCGATACTCTTTGCTTGGATTTGTATTAGATAGTTTGGCACAATTTCCACCGTGTTGAAATGCATAGGATAATTGCTGGTGTACACCCCGTAATTTTCTCATTTTGTGGCAGAGCGTAGGTTGATAAGAACATTATGCTACTTCGTGTATTTAATGCTTATTCCAGGTGGACGTGGGCACCAGACTTACCTTCTCTCTTATGGTTACAAGAACTTCCAATGAGACACCTTGAATTTCCGATGCACTGGAGGAAGTGAAGAGACCAAGCTTCATACGAGTGAAAACCGAACTTCATGTAGTAAAGTGGTTCACGCTGGCCGGGAAATACACCTGGAGACCAATGATTCTACTGCGAAGTTAGGCGTTCATCGCGCTTCTGGTAGTTTGTTCGTGCATTTTCGCATTGTGTTTCAATGGTGTATGACAAGTGGACTAGGGTTAGTGTTTCTTGCAGATTTTAACAAGGTCTCATTTTTGTATGCTGTACTCTTACCTTGATATAATGCGCATTGGTTTTTGGAGTCTCCGAGTAAACCTTTGTACCCCTAGATTCGTGGAAGTTTTTATCATCACTATCGCGTCAAAAATTGACGGATAGCCTAAATATGTTGGGAGCTCTCCCACAACATATAATTTGGTGGCCAGTATGGGGATAACATTATTTTGGGAGATGCAGTCCTGAGTGCCATGCTTGATTTTCTGTCTTTTTTGTTGCGCAATATAGTTAATGATTAATGGGTATGTATAACTTTAGTGAGTCGTGGACACGGTTATACTTGTTTTAATTGGTGTAATTAGTGTTCGCTAAACTCGTCTGCTGTCGTTGTTTACCCCTGATTTGTTGTGTAGATTCTTAGACCTGCTAATTTGTACATGCTCACCTTTATATGATGTCGTCGGAATTGCTAGAACGATTGATGAACTGTTTGTTGAACCTGGAAGCCGTCATAATCGAATTAGGAAGTAAAAACAGAATTTCCGACGTGCTTATTCGGGCAGAGCCAGTGCGACATCGTGGGCAATTTCGGCAAGGCATTCGCGACGGCCGAAGATATTCGAAAACTTTGGTATTCACCAACTCCAACCGAAAATGGTGTAAATCGTGTGGAGAAAGAGGCCACGTCTCTGGGAAGTGCGCGAAAGATGGGTGCTGCCTATGCCACCAGCCCGGTCATAATCTGGAAGTGTGTCCAGAATTAACGAATTCCATGTTATTCGAGGAGGAGCCAGTTCAATACCGTGAGGCTTGTCCCAACTTTCATGAGTCGACATCGGCTGAAGGATTGCGCTCCATTGATGGGAACCAAAGCGATTCACCTCCTCCAGCCTTGACTCCTTCAATAGCTCTGTTTGACGTAGAATTACCCTCGGCAGTCTCGTCCCGGGAGCCGCTGCCTGAAGTTGGCCCTTGCGTTTCGCCTCGGGTACAGTCCAGATGGCCAGTTTTAGGCGCGTTGCCTCTTCAACCCATAACGTTTGTTGAACCATTCGACGATTCGTCTCCACAATGCACTCCTCCAATCGCCCCTCTTGAGGTTGATGTTCAACGCGTGTCATCATCGGCGTCAGTTGTGAAGTTGGAAGACTCAGGCTGCGACGCCGGGCTCTGCGAATCTTCTTTCAGCGAGTCACGGTTGGGGCTCTGTGGTGGCGAAGCTGATATTCCTAGAACGGAGAGTTCAATTGACGACACGTATTGTTACTACCTAAATTCCAGTGGCACCGAAGATGAAGCGTTATCCAGTGGTTCCTCCTATTCGGAACGGAGTGAAGACAGGTATCGAAGTTCTCGACGTCGAAGGCGAAGAGACCGATCGCGGGAGTTTACACCATTTAGGACGATGAGCATGCGACGGCACGAGACGTTGGAGGAGTTTGCGAAGCGCTTGGAAGATGAATTTTGCCTCAGTTACCCATACAGGAACCCTGCGACGAGTCGGGTGCTGCTGGAGAAATTTCTAGTTTCCTATCACCCAAAATATAACGAAGATATGGGTGACATTATGAAGATGAAGCGGATGCAGAAAAAGTGTAATTGGGAAGCTGTGAAGAAGTGTTTATCGAAATTATATTGATGTCATTTAACCCGTTTAGAATTGTTAGCTGCGTGACCGTTTCCTTATGAACTTATGTTGTGTAAACAGTATATGAGCATTTCTGTCATGGTGAAAAATGCTAAGTTTTCCCTGCGTGAACCCTGGTCTTGGTGGGGGGAATAATGTAGCTGCGCTATACGTCTGTCTTTTGTTTGTCCAGGTTCACGCTGGCGACGAGTAGGATGCGTTGCATTCGACCTGTCTCTTTTTAATGATCAGCGTTGAGGGCGACTGCAATCTCGTGTCGCGTGAATTTTGGAACATTATTTAGTAATTTTATCGATCCTATGGTTGTTAGGTTACCGTAGAGTAGAGCTACGTACGGCTTCTTGTACGTAGCTTCCCGCGCAAATGTTTTGATAATACCACCGCTAGAGTTACTTCTTCATATCAGCACTTACGCCATACGTAAGTCGCTACGTGCACTTAGCGATGTTTTGATAATCCGGCCCCAGGGGCCGTATTATCAAAACTTCGTAAGTACGCAAAATCGACTTAGAGTGGCGTAAGTGCTGACTCGATGACGTAACTCTAGAGGTGGTATTATCAAAACATTTGCGCGGGAAGATACGTAACGTAACTGTACGCCTGCTCGGAGAGGTCGTAAGTGGAGTGCCGCACAAGTTTAGAATGTCTGCTGAAGCGATAGGAAACTTTTGATTTAGTAGCAAGTAGCAACACCTTGACTTGTGTCAATAATCCGACAGCGGGGATTATACACGCATAGAATGATGGCTCTACTTGTGATAGCTCCACTACTTGATCGTGCAACATTTGCACGATCAAAATGTGTGATTGTGCTAAACAGTGATATTGGAAAAAAATTCAATTAGTTTTTTCAAAAATTTTCACAATTCTTCTCATTCATTTTCAAAAATTCAATTCATTCATTCCTTCTAATCGGTACTTTATATCTCTGCCAACCATAATTTTTAGCTCTGTACAGAGATTTCTTCTTTAACTCACGCTGTTTATTAAAAAAAGTTTACAACTATTTTAGAACGGCTTTTTCTGGGCCAACAAGGAGCAATACCGACTCAATACCGACAGACGACTTTCGACAGTCGATGTCATCGAAGGCATCGATTCCCGCCATCGAAGTTCACAGGATGTAAACAAATCCAAAGCCTCTGATTGGTCAGTTGGCCAGATTGTTTTGATAGTACGCTTTTAGCTAAGTCTTACGTACGAATGTTTTGATAATGCCAAAATTAGGGTATACTTACGTAACACGTAACTTTTTTGTCGGAAGTACAAAAAGTTACGAAGTTTTGATAATACGGCCCCAGGTCCGTAAGTTGCTAGGCATTTTAAGACTGAACATATAATAATATTAACGGTTTCAGCGTTTAGTAGGCCGTAGGCCTATCGCCGATTCTAAACATCGCAGAACATTCACAGCATTTTGCGGTCTCAAACTCACAACACACTGCTACAATTCTGCTGTGTTTAACCGCCCGGCCTACTTGCCGATTCTGACCAGAAACTGGCGCACTGAGCATGGATCGAACCACCGCGACTCTCTGCTTCAATCTTGGTACTCTGAACTTTAACCACTGGGACCCCTGCATAACGTCGTCTAGTCTGTTCTTGAAGGCGTTCATACTCGGAGCTACAACGATGCTATCAGGGAGGCTGTTCCACATGTCGTTGACTCGAAGCGAAAAGAAATGTTTTCGCATGGATGTGTTACAACGAAGTTTTTTAGTTTATAGCCGTGGCTCCTGGTGTTGGTTCTTGTTTCAAATTCTAGTAATCCTTCTGGAAACTTTTATAAGCCATAAGTATACTTGTATGCTTCAATGAGTTCCCCACGCAGACGTCGATAACTGAGGCTTGGAAGCTTCATAATCTTTAATCTTTCCTCATAGCACTTGCCTTTCAAGCCCGGAATTATCCTTGTTGCGCGTATTTGAACACTCTCTATTAAATTTTTGTCCTTTTCAAATTTCGGTGACCACACGACGTTTCCAAACTCTAGGTTCGGGCGCACGACAGCAACAAACAACTGCTTCATCGCTTCTGCATCTAGGAACCGGAAAGAGCGTCTGATCAGTCCTAGTCCTTTATTGGCTTTATTACCTTGACCTTCAATATGCTTAGAAAATTTCAAGTCATTGTTGATATTAACTCCTAAATCTTTTTCCATTTTTCCATTGTAGACTTCGATATCATCACTCTGTCGTTGCCAACGTGTTTTCTCATACTATAATCTTGCTGTTCATTATTCATTTTATTCTTGCCAAGGTGGATAACGTTTGCGGATTTGTGGATTCCAAGGTGGATTTGCCGCCGCCTCGTTTCCAAGGTGGATTTGTCAGCGTTAAAAGGCAGCTGCCACTTATCAGCCCAGTCAACCAGCCTGTCAAGATCACATGGTAACTGTAATTTTTGCGACGTATTCTTCACTGTATTATACATTTTGTGTCGTCAGCATACATCGAGCAAACGCTAGACACAGCTTCTGGCAGGCCGTTTATAAACGCAAATAAAATAGGCCCGAGAACGCTTCCTTGTGGCACGCCGCTGCGCACTGAAGCCCACTCTGATACGGACCCATTAATACTGACACGTTGGCGTCTCCTTACTAGAAAATCTCTGATCATTTTAAGTACATTACTCTCAATTTCCAATGACTTCAATCTACGCAACAGCCGCTCATGTGGGACACTGTGAAATGCCTTGGCAAAATCGAGGTACACTGCATCTTCTGGCTCCCTTTCTTCCAGCAGGCGGATCCATTCGTTCAGAGTAGACAAAAGGTTAGTGGTGCAGGATCTTCCGGCAATAAAGCCATGTTGAGTCTGATAAGAGATTTTTAGCAGTCAAATGATCTATCAATCGATCCCTCACAGCAGATTCCATTAGCTTGCAATCGACACTTGTCAAACTGACAGGGCGATAGTTGCCCGGGCAGCTTTGGTCACCTTTTTTGAACAATGGTCACCTTACTTGAGTAACAACTAACATGTTGACACTAGTAACAGGCTGAGGTTGACAACATTACACCGAAATCATTCGTACAGTTTTATTCTGTAATTTATATTATGTATGTATCATGCTGGTTTTTAAATAATATTTATTACTATTAAGTAAAATCTAAGG